TGTGAAAAGACTCGCTTTTTTAATTAAAAAATACGTCCCAGACCATTTGCAAGAAATATGTTTGTTCAGTGAAAGAACAGTAAAAATACAGTGTTTGAGTGCATGAAAAGTAAATGGGTTCGCACACATAAAAGAAAATACGTTCTAACAGTGTAGTAAATGGCGTCAGTTGAGGATAAAAACTGCGTTTTCTTATTGAAATTTGGCGTTGAAACACTGTTTTATACAAAAGAAATTTTTCATGAATAGTAATAAGTGAAATAATCACATAAACTTAATAAAGTAATGACAATGCTGCATTTTTAGCAAGGACAATCTATGGCGTCTCTTTTCTAGCAACTATGACGCAGTTATATGATATTAGGGATAGCAGTGTGACGCGTAATAATGATGAAAGAATCGAGCCGCTGCACAGTAAAGATTTAAATATCGCACTTGCGCGTAACCACGTCGTAATTTTTCGAAATTATAGGTTACAGTACGGTTGCACTAACGGCATAACTGTGTCTCAATTCAATCGTAATCGAATATATAGGAATGAAACATCTCTAGTCAAAATTTATTGATAAAATCTAGAGAAGGAAAACTGGAGAAGAGATTTAAAAAATCTTTGAAATTTTGAGAAACGCAAAGTGTCCCTTGTAAGAAATCTTTTTGAAATTTCATGAATCTGTAAATTTTTTCTCACTCATCGTTCACGTATTCAAAATCTTTTATAGATTACTATTAAAAGATACTCGGCGAGAAACTTCACTAATCGACATGCTTACAAAATGTTGAATTTCTGAATTCATTTCATCTCAAACAATAGCTAATCTCATGTTACATTTGAATTCAAAACGTTATGATCTAAAAGTTTCTTCATGATCGGCCAGCAGCTACTTATTTAATGAACATGAACTCATACTTTCAAATGGATTTTTCAAATCAATACGTAACATTGAACGTATAGATTACATAGCAAAAACTAATTTCTATCTATAAAGCTAATTCACTTGACCGTTGAGACTAACGAATCATTCTTTTGATAAAAAATGTTTGCTTTACATTGTACATTTTCTTTCATCTTATTGAACAAAATTATAATACGATCTATCTTATTCTTTGAAGCAAATTCAATTCGGGAATGCTCAGTAGCCAAAAAATCAATTATTATGTTACCTAATATTCTGTTCTATATATAGTATCGGTTAATGAGTACGTCACTTACTGAAGCCGAGTGCACATAGATGTTGAAGGCTGTTCACATAGGTAATATATGCGACAATCGTTAGCTTTGGCAGCTTTTTTCGGTTCTGCATGCATTAAGTAAATAACAGAAAAAGAATTCACTTTTTCACATGACAGATTTCTGCCCGATTTCGAGAGAAATAATTAAAAAAAAAAAAGAGTCCTTACGATGAGAAACGACACATTCCAACACTCACTCAATGCATAGTGAAGCAAAATAGTTTAATATACTTTCTATTGTTTAAATTCTTCCTCACCGAGACAGGCAAGATCTTAAAAAAAGTGTTAAGATTCTGTTTCAACACTGTTTAAATGAAATATTACCGTTAAAATGGCGTTATAACGCAATTTTGCAATCAGTCAAAACACGTTGCCCTATCTTCACCCTGTTAAAACGTGTAATTTTTTCGAAATTTTACGAGTTAAAACCCGTTCACAGGACTATATATATATTAATGCAGCAACATGTTAGAACACAAAAGAATATTTTTAAAGTATTTTATTTATTTATTTATCTCTCTTATACAAAGTAGATTCTATTTAGAAGTTTTCATTTATTTTTCTTTAATCTGCTCATATTATAGTTTTTTTCAAATTCATATTCGATTATTATCTGCTTATACAATAGATTTATTATTAGTTTGTTTTATTACGTTTATCTATATTTCTTGTAATATGAAGGTTTTAAAGTCAACAATATAAATTTAAATAATCCTGTTTTAATATATAATAAATGCGAAAACCTCGGATTTAAATCCGAGAGTTATGTGTACTTCAAAAAGTGAATGAGACAGATGAGTCATCCTAGAATGTGTGAACATCAAAATTATCCTGGCAAATCTTTCCTATAAACACTAGACTTTGTTGGCTATTGCTCACCCAATATGACTTGGAGGCGAATACAGCTCAGACTCGAACTCGTCGTCTTGATCTACGCTAAGAAAGTCGTTTTTTTCTATCACTTGATTTCTATTGGTCCCTGCTCAACCAATGGTATTTCAAGACGAATGGATGACAGATTCGAGTTCTTCACCCCAAAAAACCTCGAAGTATCATGTCCGTGATGGGAAGGTAGAGTTCCATTTTCGGATCCACTAGAGCGTGGACGAAAACAGAACCTATTTCCGTCTGATTATCTTGGCAATAGGTGAGTTAGCCTTCGTGTTTCTTTATGTTTTATATACCATTTTGTAGCTCGTAAAATTCTCTATCGAATGGTATATAATAGTTGGAATTTTGTTTGAGTATGATAGGGAAAGTTTTTTACGAAAGCGGGGATGGGTCGATTTTCGCATAGGAAGCCATAGGAAAAAATGAGTATTTTTCCAATAACTCAGGAACGGCTCGGCCAATCATGCTCGTCTTCGAACTCGACCGAGACATTGTTAAGACTGAACTGTGTATAAAATTTCATCGCGATTGAACTCTCCTTTCAAAAGTTATCGTGTAAACGGCCGACCAGACGGACACACTGACCGATTCTAGAGTGTACTCACTTTTTGAGTACACAAAAAGTAAAATATATGAATAGAATGATCTCATGTTTTATTCACAATAGGGTGAGTGTTAATTGCTTCTCTTCACCCACACCCCAAAATTACATGACTTGTAGTTGAAAATGAAGAAGGATCTTCACATATTTTCGATCTATATATAATTCAAATTAGAAAATTGTTCTTTTTGGTGAAGTAGCTACCGAAGGGATGAAGATTTTAAATAATTTTTATAAGTTTAGAAAATCGTTCATATTCTTTCTATATTATAACGAAAATGATGAAATATTTTTCATAAAAAACTTCCTGAAAGAACTTTGACTTGCTGCTTTAAAGTAAATTCATGATATGTTACCATCAATATTTTTCAAAATTTCGATGAAGCTTAGGCTTATTTTATATGAGAAAAAAAATCGAGCAAAACTATCAGAGAAGTTTTAAAATAAAACGATGTACTGTTAAAGTTCAAATAAACAATATTAAAGATAGAACTTGATATTTATAGTAGTACGAATGATGGACATATTTCATCGAAAGATATGAAACGACAAAAAAGGATAAATCTAACTTATCATTTATATTCTAGAAAAATTTTAATATCCATCATTTGTGTAGCATTGTTACATTGAAAAGAAGAAAGATTATTATATTGATATATTACTGTTTAAAAGTAAAACGAAACTCGTTTATCTTTTGGTTCATTCACTTCTTGATAAATATTCTTCATTACTGATTTGATATAATTCATCAACAACCGAACGAATCATATATAAAGTTTGAGAGTTACATGATGAATTTGACGATTCATCTTCATGATTATTTATAAAATTAGATTGTGTTAAATCTCATGATATGATGTTATTTTGTAATGGATGTTTTTTTTTTATCATATTTCATATAGATATTGTTGAAAAGAGATTTGAAAAATAACAAAACATCAAGAAGAAATGAAACAAAATGAGAATATAATCGAATAAACTTTTATCTTGTTGTTAAAATTTTTTACGAAAATATCAAACACACGTTCGATCATTCAGATGATACTTGAGTGCAGGATAATGAACGACAGAACTAGAAGAAAAATTTCAAAAAATAAATTAAGACAAATTCTCGAAAATACTTTTTGTGTCGAACTGAGAGAGTGTGGGTCTATGCCCGACGGTATGATGGTGTATTGTGTCATCTGCACATATTTGGTCGTGCTCTTCCTTCGTTTATATCGCCTTATAATAGCAGAAAAAGTGAGCGCGGCTGAGCGAATAGGAACAAAGAATAAACGGCCACGCGGTAGAAAGAATGAAAGATACTAACAAGGTCAACGCGTGAACACATAAATATAGAGAAAAGAATAGAGTTATACGAAGTGAAGCGTAACGGTCATAAAACCGGTACAAAATAATAAATTTTAGAAGATATGCTACAAATACAAAACTTTTTATCATTCGTTGTCGATGAACCTGTTATAATTGTATATATTACATTGTTTATTGATCTTTGAGGGTATTACTATTATCAATTATTTAGAACAAAATTTATATTGTATGATAGAAAGCATAACTTAGCTTAAGTTGTGTTTAGAAAAGAATTGATCCGACAATATGAATCACTACTGATTAGACAATTTACTATCGATGATGTATTGTCCTCTCGGTCAATTTGAAAATCGAACCACTCGATCGATAGCTTCAGTTGCTTCTTTTTTTGTCCTTCTTCGTATTCCGAAAGAGACAGGTAAAGCATGTCATCGTGTTAGTGTGTGCATCTTCACATCAAATAATTTTTCCTCTTTCCTCTTATTGTATCTATCGACGAACATATTCATTCTTGCTCATTTTTCTTTCTATTCTGCTCATCATATATCTTCGTGTACCTTTATTAATATTTCTTTTTTCATGGTCTGTTTCGTACGAATAAATCTACATCTTCTAATTAAACTATTTTGAATTATCAATTTAAATTTGAATATTTTCAACTTATTTACATTTACCTGAGAGTTAAACAAAATCTTGAATCTATCGTATTATAGAATATTTATCTATTTATTGAAGATGCTCATTGTGAAACAATCGTTATTTCTGTTGTTTACATTGTTAAGTGAAGCCAATGTTGTAGCACGAATCGTAACAACAACAATAACACCAACGATATTCGACCTTAATATAAATTCTTCTCTTGAACAAGTAAGAAAAGAGAATAAATGATAAAAGAGAAATAATTATATTCTTTCTTAGATTCTTGATACAAATTCTTCGTCAACCACAATATTACAAAGTAATTCATGATCAATACAGTCCTGGACAAAAGTACCCGTCCTCCCTCAACCTATTATCATTTCTTATGATATGGGACTGATATTTTGAATACAGACTCATCTCAGTGAATCCTGATCATAAGTACTACTCCGACTTCAATCGGTTGACATAGACTGAAGTTATTAGTTTAACACTATCATGACATTGTTTGAATCATATCTCGGTCATTTTTTGATAAAAGTGTTCACGCAACTCATCATTAGTGAGTTCAATGATGCAGCTCTCTATAGTAAAAATTTGGTAAGAAATTATACAGTAAGAACGAAGATCTGAAGTTTGCATTGAAAACTTCCATCAGTTAGTTAACTATTGTTTCCGGTCCTGGTTAATAACTTGAGTTCAACTCAATTAATCCAGTTGAACATTTTAGCAATATGTCCTCATCGAGTCTTTGATAAACGTTTGAGAGCTGCAGCTCAAGAAAGAGCCGTTGAAAGAGTTTACCTCTGGTACAGTTTGCGAATTCCTGGAATTGCGCTATCATACGACGAACTTTGAACCTAAGAAACTAGGTATACTGGCCTGCAATTAACTCAAAAACAAAAATATCGAAAATAAATTGTATGGGAACGAAACAGAAAATAAATATTTTCTGCAATAGCATTTCCCTTCCATTTCTTCACTTCGAATATCAGCGAATTTGCACTCATCTTTCAGGAAATACCTAATTTTCTTGAGAACATTCGAGAAAAGATATATGAAACTAATTACAGTGAACAAGAAGCATTTCAGAGTCAGCAAATAATTATTGAGTCGAAGCCTTCCTAATTTATAGATACTTCTCTTGCATAAGTACACTGTCGGTGGTAGGTTGAAGAAATGAAAGGGAAATGTTATCTCAGAAAATATTTATTTACTGTTTCGTCCCCATACAATTTATTTTCGTTTTTTTGCGTTAATTACAGCCCAGTATACCTAGTTTCTTAGGTTCAAAGCTCGTCGCATAGAAGCGCAATTCCAGAAATTCGCAAACTGTACAGAGGTGAACTCTTTCAACGGCTCTTTCTTGAGCTGCAGCTCTCAAACATTTATCAAAGACTCGATGAGGACATATTGCTAAAATTTTCAACTGAATTAATTAAATTGAACTCAAGTTATTAACGCCAGACCGGAAACAATGGTTAACTAACGGATGGAACTTTTCAATGCAAACTTCAGATCTTCGTTCTTTCTGTATAATTTCTTACCAAATTTTTACTATAGAGAGTTGCATCATTGAGCTCACTAATGATTAGTTAGGTGAACATTTTTATCAAAAAAATGACCGAGATATGATTCAAATAATGTCATGATAGTGTTAAACTAATAACTTCAGTCTATGTCAACCGATTGAAGTCGGAGTAGTATTAGTGATCAGAGTTCACTGAGACGAGTTTGTATTGAAAATATCAGTCCAATATTATAAGAAATTATAATAGGTTGAGGGAGGACGGGTACTTTTATTCAGGAATGTATTACCTGAAAGTGAAGCTACTCAGAAAATTCAACAAGAAGCATTATTTGATAATAATTATTCTGAACAATTAGGTCAAGAGTTAAATAAAACTCGAGAAGAATTTAATCATGGACCAGAATATGACGTAAATTGGATATTTATTAATAAAGAAAAGGCTCGTGTAGTATTTTCTCTATTTTCAATGCCGACGGTAACAAATGAAACGAATTTTTTCAAAACACATGATAATAAAACAAATATATTTCCAACGATGTTATCCATAACACCATGTACACTTCAATCGATTTATTCATTAACATATTTTCGTTTTGCTGTACGAGAATATAAAACAAATACCACAATTCTTCCAATGACACGCTTAAATTTAACACATACACCATCGAGATCTGATGGTTATTTTTCAAATTCATTATTACTTGTATTAGATCCAAAAGAAAAATATTCTGTATGTATATATTATTATCAACTAAATATATCAACACAAATGCCAGATTTATTCATCTGTCTATATGTTATGGATGATCATTTAAAACATTCAGCACATGGTCTTATATTTGTTTTAACACAATATTCAATTATTCTTGGTTTACTTATTGTTTTACAAGGTTTATTTACTGTACGAAAACGTCGTTTTGCTCATATTGTGCATCAACTTTTAATTAATAAAGCACAAAGACTTCGTTCGACACTTTCATCAGTTAGTCTTGTACGACAATCAACGAATCTAATGGATACAACAACTGAACAAAAAACTACAAAATTGAATGGTCATGTAAATCAAGAAAAAAATAAACTTAAAAAACGTATTATATCATCACCAGCTATTGTTCTTATTGAACCAACAATGCAATCAAATATGACTACGAGTAGTTCGAATGAAAATGAATCATGTCTTAAATTAACAAGTGGAAAAAATCACGTTCATTTTTTACTTGGCTTAGATGAAGAATCTGATGAGAATAATGATGATGATGATAATAATGATAATGATAATGATGTTATTCCAAATGATACAATACTTACTCCACCAATAATATCAATACATATGGAACCTTATGGTGATCAATCCAATGCTTTGTTATCCATGGCTCATATACTCGATACAAATAAACCTTGGTCCAAACAATCATAATACCATTCCATAGAGATGATCATGCAAAGTCTCTCTCTGGTTTTTTTTTTCATTTCTTATCTACTATTAATATAGGATAAGTGTCCTTTCATTCTGTTTTATATAGATAACAAACTATGATACTTAAAGTAAAGAAGAAAAAAAAACAGACGTGAAACCCATTACGATTTAGTCAAAGTTTCTTATGTATGTGTTCAAAAAACAAAGAATATCTTTTCTTTTCATGTTTGCATCTCATATACGATTAATACATTGATATACACATTGGCGGAAAAAAAAGAAACAGAAACAATGAGAACATTCGCTGTTGTATAAATAGAGAAAGACAGAGAAGAATAACAAAAAAAGAAAAAATTTATGTCAATCAATGGACACACATTTTAGGAAAGAAAAAAGTTGACATTTGTTGAATTATATCAAGAAGAACGTAAAGTGACAATTAATTATATATAATCAGTTAATTTGAATCTGTTTTTCTGAAAAAAAGTGATTTTCCAGTCTTGTGTGGATCTGATATCGACGGTAATTCTAAACCAAATCAACATATACTTAAAATTTGCATAGTAATTTACATAAAGAGAAAAAGATTAAAAGAAACTTTACTTTGTTCTAATTTTAGTTCAATGACATTGATCTTTTCCATATTATCATCACATCGTTATATTACTTTACTACCATTAAATATTGAAAACCGATACTAAAAAAACAATAGCTGTTAGCGCAATCTCGACGAGATTGATCTACATTTCAGAGATTGACGGGGCAACTAAAAAGTCGCTCTGTCTTATCAAAAAGAGTTTTAAAGATTAAGTTTTCGGAAGTTCATGCTAAATGCAAACCGTCACCAATATTGATGTATTTTGCTATTTGGTTCATGTCTAACTTAATTAGAAAAGCTATCATAAGTATTGATTTGTACGGCAGCGAATTTTTTTTCGGTGAGTATCAAGGTAGATGGAAGGATGTTTCTATCAGATAAGGCTATGAAAAGCTGGATTTTACCATTCTGATTGGCACGGAGACGATCACAAAAGCTAAAACTTATTATATTAGGTTTGTTTCTAATTTGATACTCTATTGTATAATGTTTGAGATCACTGTGCATTCGCTCGTCAACATGGGATCGTTGTACATTTATAACACATGAGACTATTAAAGTAGATAATTTTGCGTGGGAAAAAATTAAAAACATTATTTCTTGTTTTTGAAGAGAGAAGATTCTCAACTTATCGATTCCGTTTTTAATGATATTTTGTCCATATATCGGGTACAATATTCCAAGAGACTTTGGGTTGATCAAGCTTCCTTCGAAGGTTATGATCATTTTACTGAGTTTTTCACTTAGCACAAGGTATATACAGAAAAATAGAACAAACGAATTTGAATCTGAAATCTGAAATTTCGTCTAGTTATAGTTCTCATGGTCATAAAAACACTATAAAAACTTCAATGCAAAAAATGTTTTCTTGTCGACATATTTAATTTTTAAAAAGATTTATCTTTCTGAACTTCACGCATTTTGAGATAAGTCTTGAAGAATCGGTATCTTCGAAAAAATACTTTTTTTCATTGAAACTTCTACAGTGTTTTTATGACCACGAAAACTACAACTAGACGGAATTGTGGATGTGAGTGTTGATATGGAGCTAGAGAATATCCAGATCCACACCCCTACCCCCATTGATACCCGAAGCACCAGTCTCAATGCATTCATATCACATCGACACTCACATCTTCAGATACCTTCTAAACTTGTATTCCTTACACGAATATACAATCGATCTATTTGCAGAATGTAAGTATATGGATAGTAAAATTAGATTCGATTAATAATGGCGAGATGATTATCAAAGAATCGTACCGTTATTTGGAGTTAAACATTAAAGACTAACTTACTCTGTTAACGTTGCCTTCTTGTCTACATTGGATGAGTGTCTTTGTTGATGAAGCATGTGAAAAACAAACGCATACCCACATCCATAACCACACTCCATCCTCTTCTACTATGACATGAATCTGTGAGAGAACAGTCATGTATTTTACATACGTCATTGATTCGTCAAGTGATTTTATCTACTACCTTTTGTTGCGAGAAAGGAAGACAAATAATCATAGATAAGAACGAATATTCGAATTGAAAAACGCATTTTGATTTTGCAGCAACTAATATGAATCCATGTTGGTGATTTCTAATAAAAAAAAATTGCGTACTATATCACCGTTTACTGAGATTGTTTTACTCAACAGAAAAACGGAAGTGATCTGTAATGACGAATGAAAGTATTCCAAGAAATCTGACTTGTTCTTTTACGTCATATATATGAGATAAGATGCACCAAATGATTATATAAATACTTGTTTAAGTGCATAGAAGCACTAGCAAACTGGATTTCAGTAAATTATTAATATATTGAGCTCCTATTGAAGACTAAGGTGAGATATTTGATTAAAACTTCGTTTCATATGATGGTAAGTTTGCAATTACAGTCTATATTCAACATCAATATGTAAGTATCAAGTTTTTTGTCATACGCATATGACAATGGAAGTAAAGCCATAGCGTAATGCACCTGATCTCGAATAAAAAAGGCCAAGGAATTTTGTAAATAAAGTTCGATTCGAAACAATCAGCCTACGTAGGATAACCATGTGAGTATCTCTTGACTTCGAAGATGAACGAGAACTCAATAAGCAATCGACTTGTTTCACAGCAGTCTGTCATACAAATAAAGTAAGAGCACAGTTGTTTTCCGTTATGAAAAAAGTCAAACGTTTCGAAAAGCAGCGGTCGAGTGCCTCTTATCGACGCGGTCCTGTATAAATTTTAAGCAGTCCTCATCAAATCGATTTTCAAAGATTCATCGCATAATTATGTAAGATAACACAAACGTGAATAGTTTAGTACAGAAAAGAAAATCCATGAAAATGACGCATCGGCTATTCCAAAGTACCACGGCGATGCTTACTTTCTATTAATATTATATTTTCATTCTTTATTGACTAAATAGACTTCGCGCCAATTAGGTCACTTGTTGTCAACCTCTTGAAAAGTTCTATAATTTCGCAACAAGTAGGTTTTCTCTTCATTCTTCAGACTATGTCCTAACCTGGTATCTTGTTTTTAAGTTTCATGTTATTTCCTAAGGTAATGCGAATCATTTCTTAGATCTATTACTTGAAGACTAATAACATATATCTAATTTGATCGCTATCGAGTTTGATACCATACTTTCCACTTATAATGAAAAGAGAGATATTAAAACGATCAATTATGAAATTTTCATTGAATATCTTATGCATTTGGTTATCCTCCCGTTGGCCTCTATGCTTAACAGCAGGGCCAGACTCGATTGATCATAGAAATTTCAAATCCAAATTTTTTAAGAATAATTTCGAATTTCAAAATTTTTGTTTATTTTTCAGATAAACTATAAAACAAATGTTCTTTGCTCTATTGATTTTGTTTCTACTCACGGAATGCAAGGTCAGTGCTTTTGTGTCACCAGTTATACGACTTGACGCAAAAAACAACGATATTTGGATACCGATGAAACAAGCCGCTGAAGTGTTAAATGTTTCAACATCCGGTAGGATCTTTATAGAAAATCACCATGTTCTGTCATTGAATTTTGATCTATTTCAGTTGATTGGACAAATTTTATCGATCCAACCACGACTACTGGGTCAATTGGACAAGCCCAAGTTGGAAGTTCAAATATAGCTACAATTATGGAAAACTGGTCAATACCACAACAATTCCGTAATCAAGCTATTCAAAATGTAAAACTATTGATAGCAGCTGCTGATGAAGGTTCATATACGGCTCAAGCATTTATATTTGATATTCAATCAAGTGCTTCGTTAACATCATTAATAGTTGTGACCAAGAGGATTGCTTCTCCAACAGATCCAAATACACCCGTAGCTGTTGCATACGTTACAATAAATACAAATGGAGCAATCAAAAAGTTATACACAACTGTGTATGTTCAGAGTTGCCATCGATGTCCAAAATGTTTATGGGGACGTGCATGTTGCTGTCACACTGTACCTGAACAACGAGAACGCGGCATTACACCGCAAGAATTGAACATTGTGAAACAAAAAATGACAGCTGATCAATTCATTTGGTTCAATCAACAACATCTGAATAGCGCAGTGAAACGTACGCTACCGAACAATTATGATAATATTCGTAATGTTGATTTGACACAAGCAATTGAAAATTTTCTTTCAAACAAGAATGTCCAAGCTGAAGTATTGGCATCGTATAATGATTCGATTTTAACTGCTTTACAATCTAATTTCACATCATTGAAACTATCAAGTCAAACATTAAAAATGACTCAAGTTGAACGTAAACATATTCTCAATTTGCTTAAAGCATTATCAGAAGACTATGAATTTGAGGATTTTTCGTCGAATTCACAATTTTTACAACAATTACAATCATCACGATTTTCCTATGAAAACTTATTTACAACATTTTCTACTGTTCATGATAAGAAAAATACTACAATAAAATACATTTGGATAATTGGTCAAAATCATGATAATACAACCTATACAATTCATTTTCTTCACTTAAATATCTCTTCACAAGTACTTATTCAAACTTTACTATGCAATAATACAAACAATAGGATACCTTGTGCTGAAGAGAATTTGAACAATCAATTAGACATTGCACGTACAGCAATATTGACAGATAATGGTCAATTTTTGAATGAACAAATCTCCAAAATGATTACACCATGGAAACTAACGACAACCAATATTGTATTGAATATTTTACGTTTCATTGGTGGCAATGTATTTAATCCAAAACAGTATCGTCTGTTGTCGTATTTCGATCCTCGAATCATTTCATCGAAAGACAAACAAACAAATAATGATGAATCTTATTCACGAACTTTACCAACTAAAATCGCTGCTTTATCACAAGCTCTTTCATCTGTAGCCAATTCATGGAAAGAAATTGTCAATTCATTTAAAACAAG